TACGTCACTACTTTGGCTACTTTCTGAGGTCTGTAGGTTACTCATCGTAGTTCAATGTTCCGGTTTGCAGCCAAGGGTGGGTGAGTCGAGTTACCGACTCAAGGGTGGGAAAGTCTGAGTAGTGTATGGGAGAGTCGCAGCTAACTTGAAGAATAGCTTCACAACTGGGTCACTTTCAGGCTGAGGCATATGAGAATATTACTGCATTGCAAACTCAGATATCCCAGTATGATAATCCAAACGTAATACAAATCGCTGGGCAGGTTCACTATGCGGGTAATTGGTTGGACAGACCTCTTTCAGGTCCATGATACGAGGGGCTCGGGGTTTCCTGGCTCTATCATGTCGAACCGTACGGTAGGGAGTGGAGGCTCGGAAAACGTTGGCTCCCAATTCCTTACAAGGCCAAGAACATCCATGTAAGGTGTCGATCATGTAACTATCTCTGAGATAATATCTTACTAGACTTGCATCATAGACTGTATGACATAGAGTGACGGAGGTCATATATGGCCAAGCGATTCCTGTGTTCGGTTCCGCTACTTTATAATTTGTACAGTATTGTCGAATCAACCACCGATTGTGACGAATTGGGGTCCTCTCCTGCAACAAAGAAGATATTCTCGGTTCGAATTCCAAGATCGGAATTTCTGCTATATTTTCCTGAATTCTTTTGCATACATCATTCTCCGTACTGAATATTATGGAGTATGGTTTGCCTCGCGGATGTGACTCTCGGTAGACCTCGCCCCGTTCTGTAGATAAAAAAATGATAGTAATGATTCTACCGGCTTTTACTTGTCATATTTCAGACATTCAGACAGTGCAACAAGTGCGATAATGGAGGATCTGGATGACAGTAGTGTAGGTCTAACGATCTGTGATCCATAGGGACGTCCATCTTGTGCCTTAGGATATTGCGTTGGAGAAAACTAAGAAGTTGAACTCTGGAATGATGCACCGTCGGTGCAGCACCGACGAAGCCAGGGGCAAAATAACACTAACGATGTAGTGAATCACGATGAGTATATTTTTTTGACTAGCTCCGTGTTAGTCCCGCAATCTAGATGGATTATCTACTGATTCTGTTCCGTCCACTGTCTGCCTCGGGAACGCCATTGGCATACCGAGTGCATCCGAGGGAGTCCCCGGTCGCAAGAATGCCACGCGTAGTGTCGAGTAGATGTAGGTCTCAGTCATTATTGCTGATAATGCCGGGCGGACGTGATGAACTTTATATTTCAGTCCATCTTTGCAAGCCTCTCAGAGTACAAATGCGACCAGTGATCTCAGGATAACAGTGTAAGCATGATTTTTCTATCATTCGACCTCGCATATCATTCTTTGGATGTAGAATAGGAACCTTTACCGCTTATAGGCCCGCCTTCCGATCTTCACGGTCACACATTGATCTCTCGCCTGGTGATGATGGTAGTGGTGTCTCTAAACGACGCAAAGTAAGATTTCCCCCTTCGAGCCAACTGCTGTTCGTCTCTGACTCATCTAACGTTCTATTTTTTTGGGATTCTACGGGATATTCATTTTGGCTGGGCGGCGCGAAAGGATAACGATATGACTCACAAGCGGGCTGAAGACTTCCCCATGAAGAAAAAAACAAAGGCAAGCCGAGATTTAAATGCCATGATGTACGACACAGTGTCGTCGACACTTGTAATGACTTCTTCACTAAATGTTTCATGCTAAACTACTTATCGAGTTGGTGACTAGTGTGACAGTCACAGTGTAACACACTGTGACAGTGTGCAGTGTGAAATGGTGTGCTAGTCACACTGTGACTAGCAACTATGGTCTTATCGTATATCCGCACTGCGATTTCACTTTTTTTGTCGATAACATCTAAATTTGGGCTCGCAAAAACCAGGTTGCATGGCATAGCCAATTTGCATAGAATTGAAGCCATTGCTCGGATTTGTAGTACTAGCTCAGATTAGCATGGATTGCATAGATTACTGCCAGTTGCTTAGATTAGCCGTGTTATGCCACGTGACGCGCGTCACGTGACGCGCCGCGTGACGCGCCCCCACCACGGATACCAAGGGAATTTTACGTTTCCCGATGAGCTGAGAAAGCTCGACTTCCTGAAAATAAATCAAACGTTTTCTCGGAGCGTCTGGCGATTCGGGATCTAGTGTTTCGACGAAATATAACTTGGGAACAGTTTCTTTTCAGCAGTCCATTGCCACCGTAAGGAGGAGACATCTGTCAAATTTTCTCAATGGTGCATCGTTTACTCCTGGCCCATGCCGCTCTCAACCTACTGGTTGCGGGCCAACCAAGCTCTCCTGATTGGGATCAGTTTTGTAGAGATGCTCTGCAACGCGAGTCCTATTGTATGCCCTACAAGGTTGGTGAAGGCCGAGTGTGTTACGGGAGTGAACCTCCTCTCCCCTGTGGTCCATCCCTTGCTGATGACTGCGCTGCTCTACACCCAAGTGCAGGGCGAACTATTCTCCAGGATCTTCCCGGTGACCCAATGGCTAACTATGTGTGGGGAAGAGCGGAAGATGTGAACGAGTGCCTCGAGACCCTGACCATCACCAACTTCGATGCCTTGTTCACTCTTCACAATCTGAAGTACGGCTTATCAGAGACCTACGCCTTCACGGACATTGCCAACGGGCTGAAAAACTCCGCCCAAAGCAACACCTGCGGGTTCCTTCTCCATGATCTCGACGTCGACATCAAATCTTTTTTTGATAAGAGAATTGAGGAGTATTCTCGTATTCTAAAAGGACTAAACTATTCAGAGCAGAAGAGCTTCCTCGGAGAAAGTATCCCGGCGACGACTTTCCATCTGCCTCTTCAACGAGAGTTGAACAGACTGAACGATGCTCACACAAGATACGAGGCTCCCTTCACCGACTTCTACTATGTGCTGCCCATACGCTTCGATTCACGAATGCAGGACGGGATGCAGGTCGTAACCCTCGGCTTTCCTGACCTCCCCGACTACTATCCACAACTCTACGGTGGGCCGGCGACTTCACACAAGGAGGGCGATATAATAACACAGGTCGACGGTACGCCCGTTCTACAGTGGATGCAAAATATGGTGGCTGATGATGGTCCGTATGTTGGAATTTATCAGGGTTCTCTGCAGAGGCTCAACAACCGCTTCTTTGTGCGGCCCTACGTCGACCGGTACGCCCGTACGGAACCGCCGCCCACTGGGCCGTTGAACGTGACCTTTTCTGACGGTTCCGTTGAGACGATCCACTGGCTGGGTAGACTCACCGACTTTTCCAAAGGCATCAAACAGGACGCCGTCAATCTGCCCTTCCTCAACGCTCGGGCTAACACGAATCCGTTCTTCGAGGAAACAGTCAAGCTCGAGACAGAGCTCTATTCGAAATGTGATTCATTGTGGCACCTTATGCCCGAGAATTCACGAGACGCCAGCCTCACCGCAGGACTCGACAGCATCTTCGCCTCCGAAGCCCGCGGTCGGTGGGATGATGATCTCTTCCGTGCGGACGGAGGTCAGGGTACCGGGGAGGATACCTTCGTGCAAGGTATAGGTTATGAGTATGCCCTTGTTGGTGACGCTGTCGTTGTGTATGTACCGAATTTCGAGCCAGACGATGGTTCGAGCTCTTTGTCAGCTCTGCTCTATGGGGAATTTCCGGAGGTGCAGGACTTCGCGAAGCAGCACAACGTCACCCGACTACTATTCGACCTCTCCTCGAATGGGGGTGGGTTCATTCTCTCTGCTTTCGCACTTCAATGGTACTTCGCGGAAGCCAAGGATATCTGCTTCCCTATAGTTCGCCATATGACGGACAACTGGCAACTTTGGGTATCTTCCTTTGGTGTCAACTATGATGAGGTCATCGACGGTTTCTTCAGCTCCTATCCCGAAATAGTGGGAGACCCGGTTTTCATACACGGACGTTTCGAACAGCTCTACGAGCTCCTCAGCTATGCCGATTCATTACTTTCTGACAGCGATACGCCCGAAAGTGAACTAATGGTGAACCAACAGAAGCCGTGGTTGAATTCGCACGAGTCTTCAATATTGTCTCTACCAAGCGCTCCCCAGCGAGCTGAAGCTTTCAAACGATTCCTCAAGGAAAGGCAGTTCCTCGATCCCTCTCAGCCGTTGGGAGCTGAGCTAGCACCAAAATACGGTTGGTTCTTGTTCGACAACAGCTGGCTTGTGTCACCGCTGACGGGTAAACGCTTCGAACCGCCACTGAGTCAGTTCACCGAATACAGGAGTCGTACGTGGGGGAAGGAGTCTAACTACTCAGCTGAAGCTATTTGGGAACTCTGCCCTCTCTATCTCAATGGGATGAGACAGATTGCTGGCCCCGACTACGACAAGAACTACTGGTCGGAAGTTGCCTTCGTCACCGATGGTAACTGCGGCTCTGCGTGCTCCATGTTTACGCAGACTCTTCAGCTATCGGGTATCGCAACGGCATTTACCTTCGGTGCTTTGGCCGATCAGCCCATGGACGTCGCTTCTTTTGGCGGTGGTGATGAGTATGAATATGACGAAGCAATTCCCTTGATCAACATCGCTAGCCATCTTGGTCATTGGGCAACTTTAGGCCAGTCGGAGTGGTCGAGACGATACGAGACCAGCTGGGTCAACAAGCCCGTACCGTTCCCGAACAGCGCTCGGGTGAAGTATACGTGGAATGGGGGCCTCACTGCTCAGCTTGGGCCTGAGTCTTTGCCAAGGCAGTTCTATATTATTCCACCTCACAAGCATTTGAATATGTGGGCACGTAATTCAGCGGAAAGGGCAGCAATATATGAGGAGATTGTCAGCATCAAGAGCTGGACGGAGTTGAGAAAAAACCCGCAGTTCCCCGATATGGGATCCTGCCCGACTTATGTCAAGAAGGATCCGAGCGAATCCGCTAGGGGAGCCTTTCAAATATGAGGATCTGCTTTGTAACGTATTTCGTGCTTTATTTCGATATTTCGTCTGTGTAGAGTAAAGGATGGTCGATTACAGCAGACTACACCACGTTTGCCAGCTCCACTGTAGAGCGACTCCCTTTTCGTTGCGCATGTGTGCTTGTGCATGCGTACTCATGCAGCATGAGCATGAGTCATGCTCATCAGATCGATCTCGCTATGGCCGGGTGGCCCTTTTTCACGACGATTCAAGTTCTTAGGGTGATGATCAAGTTTGTATAAGAGATCATGATTATGGGCAGCTCTTCTGTCGAGTCCAAATGACACTTCCGAGTAGTGTTAGTCAACGAGGGGCTCCCGTTAATCCCACAGTCTGACACAGCTCGTACCATTCACATCATCGGTCTTATGACCTGTGGCGTTCTTGCCATTGCTCTCGAGCCTAACTAATTTCATCTCTACGCCGCAGAGTAAACGCTGCACTCACGGTGCACACTAACCGTAAAAGTATATCCTTAATCATCTAGTTGACCTCCAAACAGCGAAGGATGATATAATGCTATCGACATATTACAGTAGGTTTTCATAAGGTTCGACTGGTTAGTGTTGTTACTTGGGTTACCCAAGTTGGGTATCCTTTAGCAATAGTATAATCATCCGAGAAAGACTTGTTGGACATGGTTCCTATGACAACTTCCTCCCCAAGGCAATCAAGGCGTATAGCCGGTTTACCCCCTGTGCATGGTTCTCTGAGTAATCCTCATGCTGATGGGAGCACTAATGGCGTACAAGCTAGGGTTAAGGTACAACAAGATGGGCTTCGTATCACTCCATCGTCAGCTGTAGCCTACAACCTGTGGAGCTCTCTCTCCTGGTGATGTCAATTACAAGGGGCCCGTTTTCACTGCTCCTCAACCCGGGCAGACAAACTTCCGGGTTAGGCGAAGCCAACGGAGGGCGAGCCTACCTACGCCAGAGCTTAACCCATTACTACTTGAACTTGAGCCAGAAGAAAAGCCTAGTCGTGAACGTCTGGTTGAAGGCAAGAATGGTGATGCTCTTTGTGATGCGCAACCTCCTAATCTTCACAGTTTTTTTCAAGCTACTCAAGTACAGTTGAGTGGTTTTCAACAACTCCCAACAGCCTACCTCTTCGGTCCTCAACAAGTTCCCGCTCCAGAAGCGGCGCTTCTCCTAACCAATTTCTTCTGCAAGGCCAGCCTATGAGTATGTATTCGGTACCCCAGGTTGGACCCTACGGACAGATATATTACCAACCGGTTATCTGCCCTCCTCAAGGTTCCGAATACAAGGTACTACTTCATTAGGACAGGTGCCGAATGCAGGCATCCAACTTCTGGTGCCTAGCCCTGCGCCAGGCATGATGAATGGCCTACAACACGGTCAATGAGATATTCCTGAACCTTATCAAGTTCATGGGTGTCAAAGACCTCTGCAAGAGAAGGATGGTTCTATGTGTTATGTGCCTCAGTTACTTCAACGCGAAGGCTAGCAAAGGCGCGGAGATCCTTTGCATATGCTTGCAACTGTGTAGAACGCATAGCTTATAGTGAGACAGCGCAAGTACAATATACAATACTATTGATGGACAGCGTGACGTTTTTTACGGTTTACGTTACGGCGTGCGTAACATAAGCAGTTTACGGTTACGGAAAGGCCTTACGACCTTCCGGTTGGTGATGAACTGCTTTTCAGAATTGTGGCGGAAAGATTTGCTCTAATGCACTCCTCCATAGCTCAAATAGTTGTTAAACTCATTTCTCGTAACTCGGATTCAACCGAACCGCTGAGAGAGTAACAATTGGTTCCGCATTTACCGCTCGTCTCCTTTGCAAATTCCGTCCGTCTTACTCGCAGGCTGGCCCGGAAATGCCAGGCCGGCCTCATCTACGGATTCGAATTCACATGGAATAAATTCAGGCGACTTGAATAATCAATCCTCGTTTCGTCCTCTGCATCTCCGTAAAACCCGTTACGGCGCCGTAATTTTGCGGTACGGGGCTTGAAGCGTAACCGCAAAAGTTAGCCGTAACGGTCCGTAACGTAATTCTGCCCATCTATAAACAATACTAAGAATACCATTTTCAGCTTCTAGTATATCGTGCTGTACATTTTAACACCTGCAACATCCCCGCCGCCTGTTCGAAAAATGAAGCCGAACACGAAACTCATGAGATCATGCCACCACTCAAGACTGTAACCGGCCCTATCAAAAGAAACCTGTCTAGGATCACCACCAAGCTCAAATCTAAGTATTATGAGTATGATGAGCTACTCACCACCGGATGAGTAGCTAAATACTGGCACCTCGTCCGGTACATAAGCTTGAGGTACAGTTACAGGCAGCTCCAACCTACTCCGCACACTCCTTCTGATGAATACTAAAGATGGTGTGCGGAGAACCATTATGAACAGACTCGACAGACTTACTGAGCCGCGCAGTCAGGGGCTCGACAGTTGAAATGACCGATAGGCGTAGTCGAATCGTACTATGAAGTCGTTCTACAAAAGCATTGGCCGTTGGCCTATGCCCTGATGTAAGAACAACTTGTTCTGAACAAGTACGACACCAACCTCACGAAGACGGAGCTTCAACGCAGTAGATATTCCCCTATCAGCTCTCACAAATGAAGGATATCCAAATAAAGGACAGTTAAAGACAGCAATGAGGGCGTCATATGCCAGATCTGATCTTTCCACTCGAAGAAGCCTCAACAATAAAGACCTACTGCATTCACCATGAATAGAAAGTATAGGAGACCCTGTGCTTCAATTGTCATTGGCAATTTGAGAAAATCCAGATCAAACAAGAACACAAGATTTTGCCTTGGGCGCCGAAACGATTAAACGAAACGCATCGAGCTAGCCGGGGACATGCTTACCTGTTCCTGATGGCGTGGTGCTGGGCGTCGGCTCATAAGCCTTAGCAATACGTATTGAGTTGAGTGGAGGTGGAAGGCTATAGCGTGCCACGCTCAATCACCGAGTCTTCACTCTCCTTTCCAGCAGCTCTGTCCCCCAGTAGGGAACAGAGCTGTTGGAAAGGCCGCGAAAATTTTCGGTCGGCCCCCCCAGAGCAGGGTAGAATGCATCCTTTTTTCCAGTGTATTCCCGGAAATTGCCAGGAATGGGAAGAATGACCCATCCTTCCCATCCCTGATGGAATTGACTATAACAGTTGAGAGAGCAAGCCTGGCTGATAGTGACCCGCCCGAGATCCCCGAGGATTCACGTGGCATCACTATGGTTGAATGTAGACGGCGACCTTGGGTTGGCTTAGGCTTGTGGTACTCCCACCAAGGCGAGTATTGCATACCCATAGTGATGATTGCCGAGTTGTTCAGATGCATGTGAGATTCACAGTTCTTTTCTACGGTTTGTGTTTGACCATCATGTCCAAGATGGCCATGATGTTTGGGAAGAAGGGTTTGATATCGTTCCACTACGGGCACAATGTTTGTACAGTTTTTCGCTGGTTGTGCGGTCTAGTGGTATGATTCTGGCTGTGAGTGTGAGAGGTTCCGAGTTCGATTCTTAGCTCAGCCCTTTGACAGTTGTGCCTCCTTTCGGATGTCTCTCAGCATTCCATGTCAGTACTAGCAGCAGTGGCTCCTCCCCATCGGTCCCTACATTCACCATCATTCAGTAGATCATGTTGGGCCTTTCGCACGACAAGAACGTTGAAGACTACACCCGAGCCTCTGCCGGCTGCATATTTCGCCAATGCGCCCGATGGGATGTTGAAACCAGTTTTGAATAAGTTGATGGAAATTCGAAATGCGGGGTGAGCTTCTGCTGCATTGTAACGTTTTCAATGGTCAAAAACTCAAGTATATGAAATTTGCCGTACCATCGAAGAAACGTCGCGATGAGTCGGGGGCGTTGGTCGCCCTGTTGCCAGTATTGGAGTATACAGTATGAACTAAATCGTTATGCGAACCAATATTCCAACATCTCTAATTTCTGATACTTTTAAAGTCAACTTTGAGTAATATCAATATGCTAACAGTGTGAATCTATTGAAAACTTAATAGAAGCGTTCCGTAGTCATTAGTTGACAAAGGTATCTCGGAAATCTAGATATGCATAACTATCTGGTTCACGCTGTATATTCGCTTTCCTCAGCTGAGCTCGGGCGTTTATATACGAATTAGAGTAGAAATGTTCGGAAACCAACGAGGTTTTTCTCAGAATTTTCATATCGTATGTAGTTCACTACGTGCGTGTTGCTCCATACTGCCAGCTGTTGGTTCAGGAACCGACCAGAATTGGCACCATATTTCAGCATGGTGGACGAGATGCTCAGTGTTAGTGATGAAATCGCAAAGCTGGAGCAGGAGTCCGCTAAACTGGAGAGAAATGATATATCGTGGGTGCTTGTATACAGGAAATATCCAATCTCCCCGAGGGAACTTATTTTGAACTTTCCACATTCTTCAATCAGTTCCCCATGTAAATGTCATAACATTAATAATATTCTTCCCATTGTCATTATATCCTGGGGTCACTTTTTCAGGATGAAGAGTATGTTCAACGCAGAAGTAGATTCCCAACTTGAGAAGATAATTGAAATAGAGAATCGACTCTTTGACCATCTGCATACTCGAATGAGCAACGAAGGAATTGATTGTGCGACTTGGCACGCGTACGTCAAGGACGCCAGTGATTGCACTGTTGAAATCAGACCAGGTGAATCATTCGTCTCGGAATGTATACGAATAAGTTTCTTTTCTTAGGAGTCGGCGGAGTAGAAGCCGGCAAATGGTGTAAGGATATTTTTGATATGCTCGAGCGTTTTGCTGGCATCATGGGATGGGCCGCGCCGGAAGTGAAAGTGATGGAACAAGGTTGGGTAAGTCTCGATTGACGATGTTGAGCTACCACCTAACTCTGTAACAGTTCTTGATAGATAATGATAATACATTGAATATTAATTTCAGGATTAATATTTCTAATTGATTTTTTCAAACACTTATTAATATATTCCCTACTCATGGGGCGTCGAAATGTTCGAGAGTTCGGATCCCTAGTCGTCGAATTAGCGAAGTTTTGGGTTATCGAAGTCGAACATACTGTGACAGTATTACTGTCTATAGTTTTTTTGTTGTTGAATTCATGTGATGAGAAGAATGGGAAGCACGATAATATCTTTTGACATGCGTGATAATCATAAGTATCAATCGTTTATCACCTGGATGCTTGTGGATTGATGATCTGAATTGATGTACTCGCTTCGAGGTCGCCCGGAAGCTTGTCTCCGCAAGCTGGTTTTGTATGTTTTGTTGTTGTATATGTTGTTATTGTTGTTTTATGTGTTGTTGTTTCATATGTTGTTGTTGTTGTGGATGTTGTTATTATTTCTATTATTATTGTTCTCAGCAATCGGGATACCGACAGATCATCGCCGATTTCTTCCTCAAGCCAGGCGTGAAACGAACTCCCGAGAAAGGAATCTTTGGATATCTCAAGTTTGAGGCGGGCATACATCGAGTGAGTCACATCCTCAAACTAAGATCATCATCATCATCATGTTGAGATGAAATTCGCAGTCTCCGTAGTTCTGTTTGCAACTCCCCAACCATCGAAATGAACGAGGGGCTCCAGTGACTGAATGCTTCACTTCTCTATAGATTTGTGATCAAAATATAGCAAGCTGAGATTATTCAAGTGTACTCGACACAATAGGTACAACGGGTACCGTCGTGGCCAGCAGACAGCCTCCCACAGACTTCAGCATGTAGCGTTGTTGTGCTCCCTCGTGAGGATCCTAATAGCAATCTCATACCAGTGTTGAAGCCACATGAATACAAAGTGTGGATCACGAAGAAATCCTCGGGGCCTGGGGGACAGTGTGTTAACGCGGCCCACCAGGCTGTGAGAATTCGCCACATTGAAAGCGGAGTTGAAGGTTTCGCTGATTGTTATCGCGCGTTAAAATCAAACAAGGCGTTGGCATTGCAACAAGTGTCGCAAAAAATTATGGAAGAAAAAGGAAAGAAAATCGCGAAGGAGCGAGGGATTATACGGAAACAACATATGGGCTCCGGCGATCGCAGTGAGAAAATACGATCGTATAATTACCTCAACGGTACCGTAGTTGATCACAGGTAAACTCTTTTGCGAAGAAAAAATTGTATTTTTTTGGTTCAGACTGCCGAAGTCTGAAGATGGTCCTAATGCCCTAGAGGAGATCATGGATGGCGAGGGCCTCTTGCATGACATAATTGAACCACTGAGATTGCAGGAGTATCGTCAGCGTGTTCAGGACTATGTCGTGTATGAGTTGTGATGAGAGTTTCTGAAGTATTTGTATGGTGTTAATCGTTGAGGAAGTTGTAAAGCACTCATGATAAGAGGGCCAGGGCCAGACAAATTAGTACGAACCAATATATTTGAAAAGAAGACGGTCAATACAGTATTCCCCGTGTTTAGTTAGCCAGACTCGTCTGATGATCATGGCGTCCGACGTTGACGCTTGCGGCGAGTGAAAGTGTTTGCTGTTAAGCTCGTCGTGCTCAACACGAGCGTTATTAACCCTAAACTATGGCTGGATGCCGGAGACTGGAGGAACCGAGGGGATGCTGAGCCAGTCATTGATAAGAAGTTATGTTCATCTCGGCGCGTCGTGCCATTCAAAATCCACTACGAGATCACGGGCTGTCCAGACGAAGGGTGAGAGAGAGGCGGACAGACCGCAACCGTAGCAAGTTTTTGTCGACGGCACGAAGTGTCGAACCCGCGAAGGTTACGGCTGAATGGGTTCAGGGCTAGCTCCCTTATCCATTCGAGTACATCGTCTGTCGAACGAATATACCCATTGAGCTGTGGTTCGGTGCTAGCCGAACTCGCTCGGCTGACATGACGGAGACTTTGTGCAAGAGTCAGTCTCTCGTCCACCAGACCACAGCTGTAGGAGCCAGTCACATCCCGTAGGTATGCGGCCGATGCTGATGCATTGTCGAGGCTGGCTCGACAAGCATATTCATGACTGGCCGTGACGCTCACGAAAAGAGGACTGTGATGATCTGGGAGCGTCTTGCATGCTTCCAACCGAGGCTGCTGGCCTGATGCAGCCTTATGGGCTGTTGGTCGTGGTGGCCACAGCTTCCACACAGTGGTGGTGGCGGCTGGAAGCACGATACTGGAATATGGATATCTGACTTGATGATCGCTGGCTGACGGTGAGCCGGAGCATTGTCAAGTGAAAGATAGGGCATGAGAGGAGAAATGTCCCGGGCGGGTTTGGGATGGGGAAAGAAAACAAGTCTCGAGAGGCCGAACTAGCCAAATGGCGTCCTCGGACTTGTTATAACTGAGGCGAATCCGAGCGTTTCGTTGGGCGTGCGAAGGATATCAACGTGTGGCACAATTAGTTGTCCCACGAGGATCGGGGAAAAGTAGTTCCCCGATGAGCCAGATCTCGATGGATTTTGACCGGTTGATAGATAGGGCTTAATACGACCTACGGCTGTATTTTGCCCACTATCAACCTCGCACAAAATCCACTACGAGATCACGGGCTGTCCAGACGAAGGGTGAGAGAGAGGCGGACAGACCGCAACCGTAGCAAGTTTTTGTCGACGGCACGAAGTGTCGAACCCGCGAAGGTTACGGCTGAATGGGTTCAGGGCTAGCTCCCTTATCCATTCGAGTACATCGTCTGTCGAACGAATATACCCATTGAGCTGTGGTTCGGTGCTAGCCGAACTCGCTCGGCTGACATGACGGAGACTTTGTGCAAGAGTCAGTCTCTCGTCCACCAGACCACAGCTGTAGGAGCCAGTCACATCCCGTAGGTATGCGGCCGATGCTGATGCATTGTCGAGGCTGGCTCGACAAGCATATTCATGATTGGCCGTGACGCTCACGAAAAGAGGACTGTGATGATCTGGGAGCGTCTTGCATGCTTCCAACCGAGGCTGCTGGCCTGATGCAGCCTTATGGGCTGTTGGTCGTGGTGGCCACAGCTTCCACACAGTGGTGGTGGCGGCTGGAAGCACGATACTGGAATATGGATATCTGACTTGATGATCGGCTGACGGTGAGCCGGAGCATTGTCAAGTGAAAGATAGGGCATGAGAGGAGAAATGTCCCCTTTGTTGGAGTGGGAAGCCCATCTTTCGATTGATTCCGACATTGCAGCTGGCGATCCTCAATAGCTCTCCCTCAATGACACCGGATTAGCGTCTCGGACTTCTTGGTGTTGTCGGGACGATAGAATGGGGGTCTCGACATTCGACTCTCGAGTCGTAGAGATTTCCTTCAAATTCTCAAGGAATGGACTGATCTCTCCCGATCGTGGTTAACTAGACTCAAGCGAGACTTCGAAACGGGTATAATGTTCCATCGTGAGTGGGTGCTGAGTTTGAGACACTCAGATTGAGGACATCATCGTGAAAGTCGCGGCGACCTGTTCATTCTTCATCCGAGGATTCGTCTACAACAAATCTCGACGCGGCTCGAGCGTGGATGTCCGGAAGATTGAGGTAGACTTGGAATGCTGCGGAGCGCCATCCTCCCATCCTGAGGAGCACTGATGGAGCGACTTCCTGTTCGGATAGATCCGTTGCGTGTCCACGACGGAAGGAGTGCAGCCCAAACTGCTGCGGGTCCGAGAGACCCAGGTTCACCATGCGTTGTCTCAGTAACGCTCTCAATCCCTCAGCTGACATCTTGGGCAGGAGAGATCTATCTGATGAGCTTCGGTGCATGAGGCGCATGGCATGAGTGTGTGGGCATAACTTAGCTCCAATTGTCGAGCAGACACAGAAACGGATCAGTGTCACTGGTTTGTTGACGTTCTTCCTCTTCTGGAGGCGAATGACGACAGAGTGGTCAACATTTATTGTTATGTTCGTCTTGGACAACGGCAGAAGCTCCGATGGGATACGAAGTAAAAACCAATAGGCCAATGCGAAGGCTGACGACGCCGGATCATCCGGTGGGGAATCCCCATTGTGATTTGGTTTGCTTTCGGGGATGAGCCGACGGAGTAAGGTGAGTTGGATGGCTCTCATTCTGCGATTCCCACCTGGATGTTCACTGAGTTGACCCTTGAGAGCGGTAGCGATCAATGGCGAGTTGAGCTCGGAAGCGTCTTTCCCAAGCAATAAAGCCCACTTCCGAAGATGACTGACATAGTTTGCTGCAGTACGACCGTTGCGGAACGTGGAGATCCAAGAAACGATTACCGTCGAATCGACGGGGAAAGTCTCGATGGTGTTCCCTGAGATCTCGGATAAGCAGTTGATGAAGGTTGTATAACTTCTCAGGCCGGAGAGGTACTGGCGGATCGTCGTTGATCCGACGGACAGAGAGAGGGTCCTCATTGCGCTTAGTTGCAGTAGCTCTAGAACTGGCGCACCCCTTGCGTGGGCTGCCCTTAGAGCAGTGCATACCTGACTGGGCCGTGTGTCTCCTCGTAGAATCGGTGCCAGTGGTGAATCTGGTAAATTGCGGATTTCGATGAGGGATCGTGCTAGATCCTCAGTCGAGGCGCTGCCGGATCTGCCACGAGGCGGCGGTCTGGTGTTGCTGATTGACATCTTTGCAATCTTCAACCGGGACAGAAAAAGAAAACTGCTCGCGGGTGTTGTTGAGTGTGCCAGAGATTATTATATCACGCTAAACTCAAAGTCATGCAAGGGAAGAAACAGTTCTTAGGTCAGAAGTTTTCAATTGTGCAGTGAGGGCCATACTGATGGGACCCGAGAGAAACTTCGAACCAAAGAGAAATCGTGCCTGGATGGACCATCGGCTACGTTTTGCGCCGAAGGGACGCGGGATATCCATAGATTGACGCCCTTTCGAGAAACCAGGCGCCAAAATTCTTTGACCATGTCGTTCAGATCATTTTGGCCCGAACTACCCCGGATGAGTGCGTGCTTTACAGGCTCGCTGTCCACATATAGCCATGCAGTTCTTCCTTTCAACGATGAGGCGAAAGTGCGTATGGCAACGAGGGCGGCTAATAACTCAAGAGGCACGATCTGCGTAGCTCGCTGCTTCCACGATCCGACTATGCCGCTATCTGCAATCTCGGAGAAGTAGCGGTTCTTCTTCCCGGTCTCTGAACCGAAGCACAAGACCGCTCCGAGTCTTCCCTTGGCTCCCTCGGCGTCAGAGTATATCACGAGCGCGTTCTCGATTGGAGGCTTCATTGGAAAGACGCGGCTGAAGGGAGCCTCGGAGAGGAGTTCGCTGAGCTGCTGAAGGTCATCTGCTAAGTTAGCAGTGCTAACTTTTTCGGGTCCCTCCTTCCCCGAAGTTGGGCGTGTAGCCGTCTGATGGAAGCACGCCATGAGAAGTCTCCCGATGTTGCAGACGCAAACGTGAGCTTCCCGCAAAGCTTGCGTATCCGACCTGGGCTGGGAACAGCTAACTGCGACAGTTCCCTCATCAGTGTCTCGAGAGAGATTCGCTTCTCCTCTGGGAGGCTCAAGGTGAGAGATTCTCTGTCTAACTTGACTCCTAAGCCGAGCAGATCGATGTCATTGCTGGGCGGAGTCCGTTTGGTCACTTTCTCGCGGAAGCCGATGACTTCATTGAGGAAGATCCAGCATTCGAAAGCGGAGGGTGATGTTTCACTCCGCTCTACTGACCAATAGTCATCGATGAATGACATAGCAGCCAAGCAGAAGAGGACCCGTAAGAGGTGCACCAAGCATTGGGATACCCGACAATATGAGGTTACGCTCGAGCTGGACCCAAAAGATGCGGCTCGATGACGGAATATGGCCGGTTTGTTGTCAGGATCAGCTATACAGATCAATTGATATTGAGCATGATCCGGATGAGTCGGTACTTGCCGATAGGCATTCTCGTGATCACCCTTGAAGATCTGGAAATTGCAGCCGTCGGCAGCCCTGCTCAGACGTCTCCATGCACCGATCAGAGTCTGGTGGGTGGGCAGGGTCACGCGCTGCCCAAAGGACGTAGCCAAATTTGTGTGGCTCCGTTTATAATCATCGCAAAGGCGAGTTTTATCACTTTGGTGGACAGGAACACGTCTAACAATGACCGGGTTTTCGAAGGACGATTCGATAGCGGCCAGCTGTGAAGGACCTTCCAAGTGTCCTTTCTCCACTTCTTGAAGGGTGCCTTCCCAAGCCTCCGCTTTGAAGCCTTCCTCGCAAATGGAGTTGATGATACCAGCTCGGGCGGATCTTGCTCTGCTGTGCAACTGATCGAGAGAGATGACCCTTTCTTTGCCATCCGAGTCCATCGGGGGGCGAGGGGGCGCGAATACCCCGGGTGACACCGTAATGTGACCGACTACCGGCATGCCATTGCGGAGGTCTTCGACCAGAGCTCTGTCTGTATACTCCGTCAAGTCTATGAGTTCCTCCAGGAGGTCCAAATTCAGGTTGCCGGCGATCTTTGCGACATCGGAGTGCATGGAGGCCTGCGAAGTAGTAGTTGCTGACTCCAATGCTACCGCTCGCTTCTTGATTGCTTCCATGGTGAGCTTCCGACGCCGGATGATCTCGTCGGGAGTCAAAGAGAGTTGGGTTTCAATAGCTGCTTCGAGAGACAGCGGTAGAGTTATGCCCGTCTCGAAAGGGTGCTTGCGGTTGAGTGCAGCTTTGAGATGATCCATCGAGTCTCCTGTTACGGGAAAGTTTTCTAGAAGCTTGGCGTCACGCTTGAGGCTCGTGTAATAGAGTCTGTCAGCTGTGTGGTCTCCCTCCGAAGTGTTTTGTGTTCGACGCAGTTCACGTAGTTTCTCCAGCGCTATGGGACCCGCCTCCGACTTGCGAGCTCTCTGGCGGCGGCGGTAGTCAGCTCTTGTCTTGCGACATCGCTTCCCCGTCATAGGCACGTTGGGGAGGGTGAAATAAAGCTGAAACAGGAAACGAGTACGTCGATCTCTTGCTGATGAACCATGAGCGATGAACTAATCAAGTGATTCTGCGACATTCCCCAAAGTGAGACTTGAAGAGCGCTCCGCTTTCGCAGTACACTCTCGCTGGGTCACACTTGTGGGAGATGGGGCTTTTCTCACTCGGTGAGTTCGATTTGATGACTCGATGAGTGACGTTGCTTTGCCGAGATACGGCGGGGATTTCTTCCGAGATCGTTTTATTCGGTGATCTTCGTACTCTGCTCCAGAAGATGCAACTTGGAAGGCGCTTTCCGCTCTCGCGGCTCACCCTCTCTGAATCACATCCATGAAGTGAGTTCGAGTTCACTATCTAGCCTTTGATGCCGTGACTAGACAACGCAAAGCTATCTCAACGACACGTAAATACTACCATACTGAGAGTCAGGGACAGGTCAGAAACGGCAGAAAGGGAAAGAACCAAGCGAACGAAGAAGCGAGGGAAGATCATGGTCCCATCGCAGTCTAGGACTTTCAACACCCGAATTAATGGTCGCTCTGATTATCGTCACTTGTGATCTTTAGCCTTGGTCGAGGACGTGGCCTCAGGATTGGCACCTTTCTCACCGCCACGAGGCTTCTTATTGGGTGGTTCACGCCGGTCTCCGCCCTTACGGTGTTGCTTCTGACCGCGGCGTTTGGTCTCAGCGGATAAGTTGCTTCTGGAGCTACTCTGCGACTTACTCCTGGCTTCAGCGGCCGCTTCACTAGCACGAATGCTGAGATCGTCATGGTATTTGGCCATCTTCAACATTGCTCTGGGCAAGGACTTTCCTTGCCTCAAAAGGTCGACAACCCTCTCTTGGATGAGGTTGTGGTACTCGATGGCGCCATAAGGACCCGAGGCTCGACCATTAGGACCGAAGGACTTCCTTGAGGTGGCCTGAGCACAATTTAGCAGATGTGTGAGAAGTGGTCCCATCTGCAATGTGTCGCACTCACTGTCAGAGTTGGCCTTGCAGTTTCCGATCAGAACAACGGTAGTAGACCATCTCAATAGAGCTTTGAAGACATTGCTCATCATACCGGGATCCTCGTTGGGCCGGAAGAAGCGCTTGATCGGGAGCGCCAGAACGTGTCTGATCTTGTCAGCATGACCACTGCTCAGACAACTCGAATGAACCTCCTTGACCAGTGAGTCTTCGGGATGGAGGTCGTGGCACATACCCCTAAGGTAGGGAGTGCCACTGAGAAGGGCTTCAAGATTGGGGATGGACTTGTTCTGTTTGTTGGTACCGTCTTGACTCATTTGAAGGAAGGCTGCCAGCCCACTCGATAGGTCGGTGATGGTTTGGGAAGAACACGCAGGGGCACCAGAGTCCTTCCACTTAGCGGATCCTTCAGCATTGTCACCGTTGTCAGTCTTGCCGGCGGTCATCGCAGCGACTCGGGCTGCTTCGATCTCTTCACGAGTCGGCTGGTCATCTGCGGGCATCATGTGTGAGGAGGAAGAGCTGACAAAGTAAGCTGACAAAGTAAGCTGGCAAAGAGGCGCTCACAGCAGTAGGTTGCGGGCGTGTAGAAGAGACCGACGACCATGTCTCACCGTCAACTGCGTGAGTTGGATTGACGGTCTGCTACGAAGCAGATGATGTCTCAGACACTGGTCACATTGATTCACATGCTCCCCGGAGGGGCATTTGCGAGTGGGTGGTGGGATCCCCTCGCTGGACAAGGGTCCGGTTCAGTCCTGAGACGTTCCCTGGAGAGTCTTGCCCGAGGTGCTCGAGTTGTCATAGAGGAGACAACGCCGGCGACCTCCTTCGCACGGTGCGAAGCTTCGCGATCCCTTCGATCCCGGGTTGTTCCTCCATGGGTGCACTGCCCATTTGGAGGAACATAACACAACGCCTAAATAAAACAAAAGGACAATGAGCTGCCCTCCACCGATAACCAACCAACTCTTGGTTGCCAAGGTGGTTCCGGAGACTAAGCTGGGGTTGGTGGCCTCGAGTGAAGGGGCTTGATTCGGCCATCGGATTGAGACCTTCTCGTGTCATACAGAGCTGAAAGAAAACAAGTCTCGAGAGGCCGAACTAGCCAAATGGCGTCTCGGGATTGTTATAACTGAGGCGAATCCGAGCGTTTCGTTGGGCGTGCGAAGGATATCAACGTGTGGCACAATTTGTTGTCCCACGAGGATCGGGGAAAAGTAGTTCCCCGATGAGCCAGATCTCGATGGATTTTGACCGGTTGATAGATAGGGCT